TCCAAATTCTACTCACTAGTGAATTATCTAAATGATCATTTGCGGTAAATTCATCTGCGTAACCATGATTTCTTCTGATAAGTCATTTGCTTGCAGAGATGATGCATCTACCTACGCATTTATATGCTCGTACGTTCCACATGTATTGAGACAGATCTTGCAGATTTACCTATAGTCCTTTAGGCAACAAACATTATCCCTATATAATTATTAGTTGTACAAATTCAGAAAGAATTTTAGATGCAAAAGGTATTGTGGTTAACTATAGATCTGAAAGCTCTCAGTTATTTGAAATTCTTATATATTGGAAAGAATTCAGCTATTCATCATTCAAATGCGAAATCTCAAATGAAAAACGAAGGGCTTCTGTCAGTTAAAATACATTTGTTTATAGACAACTGTAAATACATTAAACTAAAATAAAAGTTGAACACGATACAGTAATTACTAGAATTACTGATCCTCTTATTGATAATTCTGGTTGAAACCTAATAAACTTTCTTGTCACTTGGTGGTACATATTTATATATTAATATATCGATATAAGTGTTTTCATTCCTGTATAAATTATATCCAGTTAGCTCATTCAAATCGCGTAAAATATATTTAGTAAGATCTGGATTGATTGGTATAAGGGAAATGACTTTTCTTTCAGTGAAACTCATCAATTTGACTTTGATTCTTTTTCTAAAATAAGTTTTGTAATACAAAAGGCAAAGAAATAGTTTCAATACAAGGCTGATACCTTTTCTTTGAATTAAGCTACGCAAAATGTCATCTCATTTTTATTGTGTAAATAAACTAGGAAGATATCTTTTGAAGATTCCTGTCATTAATCTATCGACATTTGATAGTAGAGATTTATTTGCATACGTGAATTTGAAGACCTTTGATAATTCGTATGATAATCTTATCTTGATTCCAAAAGGCGATGTTAAATGGGTTTGAAGGATAGTTATCTGTTTTGGTAATTGTTCCATCATTAAGTATATGTGTAAGTTGATTATTATAAGTACCTGCTATTATCCAAAGATGATCACTTAATGAACGAACTCTATAACCCCATCCTTGTAGAAGTGAATTTATTCAAATGCATTCGAAAGATTTAATTTGAACGAAGTTCAAAACGACTTTGATTGATTAATACATTTTCAAGGATTATTGCGATATAACCATTATTATATTTAATATCATTAATAACTTCATTTTCTTGAGATATTATTTCCGATTGGTAGCATTTATTAAAATGAACAGATGGACAAAGATTGAGCTCAACGATGAACGGATTTTGGCCAAAATTCGATAAAAATAACGATGTTTCCGAGCATGTTCCACGTTCCCAAGATATATTGCTATTAAAATATAGTTGACATGGATCTAGAATCATTCTTTTTTCATTAAGAGTAAAAATTTCCTTTGAAGAGATAAAAATGAATCGATTGAGTGTTTTTAACCAACAAATATCTTTTATTCCTTCTTGTGAAAATGACTTTTGATTAACACTTTTAAAATCTGATCGATCAAATATAAAGTCGATTTTCCAATAACCAAAATATGCAAGGGGGAAAAAACTCATTCGGGCATTCCCATCCATTCCTAGCCATTCCCAGCGATTCCCAGCCATTCCTATCCATTCCTATCTATTCCTATCCATTCCCAACCATTCCTATCCATTCCCATCCATTCCTATCCATTCCCAGCCATTCCCAGCCATTCCTATCCATTCCCAGCCATTCCCAGCCATTCCCATTCATTCCCATCCATTCCTATCCATTCCTATCCAATCCGAACTATTCGGAATCTTTCACATCTATACCTAACTTTTGTAAATTACTGTTTTGCATCTTAAAGTTAGCTCGTTTCGTGAGCTTATTCCCTCAACTGAAGGGAGGGCCATATGAAATAAAATGG